TTTATTCATTTATTCATTCATTCATTCTTAACCAGTTCTGATTACAATTGTGTTCTTAGATATCTAATATCAAAGTTAAGTCTAATACTTTCCCTATTTAATGACTTTCTACTCCCTTTTTATTCTTAAAGAGGTTGTTAACCCACAAATTAAAATTCTGACATCATTTACCCACCCTCATGTTGTTTCAGATCCGTATTAATTAATTTCTTCTGCTGAACACAAAAGACGATATTTTGAAGAACGTTGGTGATAAAACAGTTTTTGGTCACCAGTGACTTCCATAGTATTTCTAGCAACTTCCATAGTAATACTAGCAAATGTTTGGTTACTTATGTTCTGTGTTTAGAAAGAAACTCATACAGGTTTGGACCAACATAAGGATGAGTAAATGAAGACTGAATTTTCACTTTTGGCTGAACTATTCCTTTAACAAATGTGAATAAAAATAATTTTGGGCATCCTAGTAGGACAAATCTAAAATTCAGAAACCGTTACAATGCCTGATTAACATTTGAAAATGTGGTTTTAGAAGAAGTGAATGAAGAGGAAGTTCTGGGAGAATTTGGTGAGGTAAGTTTTCTCAGATGTAATGTTTCCATTGGAATTTTCAGGGCAAACTCTAATTTCAGAAAGTTCTGAACCCTAAACGTTGCTCTCCAGTTCACATATTCATGTACATGTTACATGATGTATTCTGCACAAAACTACAGTGCCTGCTTGGTACCCAGTGGTTGTGTTAAGAACAAATGTTTTTGAATATGGTTAAGAAAATAGTCAGACTAGTCAGTTTTTGAGATTAAAAATCTCTGTCCATTCACACTTTTTTTTATCATTGTCAAGATATATTGTCATATACAGCCCTAGTTTTTCTTTGACAAACTTAACCGATCTAGTTTTATTTTAAAGCATACATATATTCAAAGTACAGTTGATGATTGACAGGTAAATAGGTGGTCCTTTACTGTCCAGGATACAGCAAATCAACTTAAAGTTTACCTTTCAAAGCAATGTGGTCACGTGCCTCTCTGATGATCTCTCTTTGGGGTTAAATTAATCGGATCGCCTGTGATTAATTAATTTTTTTAACTGTAGATGGATGGATTTTTTATGGATTTTAATAGGTGTAAACAGACAAATGTGATTGTGTCATGTTCCAGATGGGACAACAGTCATAGTGTTTGATTTGCTCAATGTAACATACTGCACGTGTTTTAGGAGGCCTTTGCCAAAGAAGAGACAGATGTCCAGAAGCAAGAGTTTACTCCTCCTGAAGAGTATGTCATTCCTCTTTCACTTATACATCAGCATACATTGCACATATCATATATAAAAAAATATGCCACACTATAGTACTAGTTTTGCCTGAGGATGAGTGTTTGGAAATGTTTATTTACTGTGCTCTTGATTTCAGGGTGACTGAGAAAAAACTGGTCAAGATAAACCCCCCTGCTGCAGTTGGTGAGGTAATGATCTTTACTGCAACCACATACAGTGTTAGTTAAACCACATTTGTCATACTTATTACAATTTTTTTTTTTTTAAGATTCTTACCATGTCACTGAGTTTAGACACTACAGCCCTTGATTCTGCTTTGCTACTATTAAACATTTGTGAAGCTTATTTGTGAAATCACAGCTAGGTGGCACAAAGGGGTGTTTTGCTCCAGTAGGGCATTATTCATATGTGCATTATTTATGATTTAAATCCTATGGTATATTCTACATGCCATAAAAGAAGTAAAAAATTATTATTAGTAGTATTTAGATGATTATTTTCATTGCAGAGGCTTCAGAAAAGAGCAGAACGCTTCGATCTTCCACCGAATGCAGACAGCAAAAAGGCGGCACGGGCAGCAAGGTTTGATTGTTTGAGAGAGAGAGATTACATTAAATGTCATTAAAAGAGAGTCGAAGACTGAAGAATTCTGAGAATTTCTTTAGAGTGAAATGCAGTGTTTGGACTGTGCAATGGTCTTATGTAAGAAAACATTTTCTGTCAATAAGACAAATCAACATGACTGTTTGTCAAACATTCAAATCACTTTAAATTAGAAATAAAATTTGACAACAGTAATAAATTGCACATGCATTCTAGAGAAACAAACAGACTTGTAACCGTTATATGGGACCTGTCAAATGGGGAAAGTGGACATGTGAACATATACATGGGTATCATCTCTTAGCTATAATATTTATGTAATCCAGTAGATTATTTTGTGTGTGTGTGTTTTGAGACCTCTATATATCTTTAATTCCTATTCTTGTTTTAATAGGTTTGGTTTGGAAGTACCTGAATCTGTGTCGTCCAAAGGCGAGTTGACATCTAATGTGTACAGTGCATCTCAAAACTGTTTTCAGAAGTCCTTTTGTTAAAAATACTGCTGCTATTGGTTATTTTCAATTAAGTTTATTATGTGTTGTTGTGCCGCTATGTTGCTGTTGTCATGGATAAGACCATGATATTATTTTTGTGCCACATATTTCTATACTTCTACTGCCACACATTGGTTGTGTCCAGTTTTATTCACATTCTCATACCCACCTTATTTTTTAATGTGCAAGTAAGCGGTTTTCTGTGAATGTGTGAGACTTCCGCTTAATTAGCTGCTGTAGGGAAATGATGAGAAGAATAACAAAGTGCAGTAAACAGTAAAAAATGTTTGTGGTACAACCCAGTGTGCTTAAGACAATGCATTTAAATGTTCTGGTAAGAAACACCAGTTTGCACTATCAAGTAGCAAAGCATCTAAATATAGCTGGAAGCGGATGACACCAGAAGCCAGACACATTAAATTTACAAATGGCAGTGCCCGCTCTTACGCGAAAATAAGGTGGATTAAAATAGCATCGTACAAGTACTTAAAAATAAGTTGCAAATGAAAGACATGACATAACATTTGAACAACCTGTCAGTCACCAAGTACAGTGTTTTGATCTGATTTTCTTTGTGATGACTTTTGGTCGTGACCATCTGCAATGAATGACTCAGTGAGTCAGTTGTTTTACATTTTTAGTCTGATAATGTCTTCGAATTTGTTCATTTTAATCTTTTAATAAACTTTATTTACTTAAAACTGGCGCATACATAAGTCAGTCATTTGAATTTGGACATCAGTGCTTGCTCTGTGTTTGTTGTGAGCAGTATATTGTGGAACCCAGTCTATCTTTAAACTTAAGGTTTCAAGCTACAGTGTCTAATTAATGAAAAGTTCCATATTCATTGACATATGTTGTTAATTTTTTTTTTTTAGGAACTTCAGCCAAGCCAAATGTGAGTAATCTGGTTGCACATTTTCGTAGGGGCTTGGAAATTGAAATGTGAAATAAATGTATCTCTGCAAAACCACTGATGAACGTGCCACTCGTCTTTCAGGTTGACGCTGAGGTATTAAAGAAGAGAGCAGAACGTTTTGGCATGAGTGTCTCTTCAGTTTCTAAAAAGGTACCTTTTTTCATATTTCACTTACACCTAACAAATGACGTTGTCTTGCATAGTAGCTATTTGAATGTTTGTGTGTGTTCACAGATTGAGGATGATGAAAAGCTTAAGAAGAGGAAGGAGAGATTTGGCATTGTCACAAGTGCAGCGTCTGCTGGAACCAATGATACAGAGGTATGGGTTCTGCTGGTAAACTGGTTTTAAAAGGTTCATTAAATCTGTGTGTGATGATCGATGTTTATATGTGAATAAATGCCTGTTGAAATCTGTTCATCATATAAAGTGATAGTCTCTCAAGAGACTTGGATTAAACTGCTATTTATATGTATTACTTTTACGATGTCTGTGCTTTTTGAAGCTTGAAAATGTTGATTACGTAGATTTTTGATAGATGGACAGAAGCTGAGAAAATATTAAAAGGTATCTGTGTTCTGAAGATGAACAAAAGTTTTATGGGTTTGAAATGAGTTTTCAGTTATGAACACAGGAGAAGCAAATTCACCACTCTCAATTCAACTTCATCTGTGTTGGTCATTGCATATGGCCATCTATTTAGAGTTGCCCCTTCTCATTTATTCATGTAAATGTATAGAGGGTATGCATTGAACACGCCCCCTCAGCCGGACTGAGTGACGAGAGAGCCTGGTGCATGAATGGATTTAATAGGGAAGCTGTGAAAACGCGAGTAAAACAAACGATAATCGGTTTAAACTAAAGGTTGCTGGACTCGATATAATGTTCATTGCAACTTGGCAAATATCCAATGGTCCATGGCTATTGATGTGAAGCCAGGAATGGTGTTTCCTTACATTTTATATGTGCCTGATTTTGACGCTGGGGAAATAAAGCAGATTTACCTGTGAACGCATTTTGTAATTGGTCTAAATCCGGATGATCACTTGTATCAATGTTATATATATCGTCCAGCCCTAAAACTTATATAGTTTTTATTTAAAAACATCCAGTTATGCAGAATATAAGATGGTAAATATTTAATTGACGAGTTGTCAATACGATATATTATAATAGGGTATGATTTTACCACAAAATTCAACATATTGACATTACATGATCCGTGTTTCGCTGCCTGGAGTCCAATTGTTTCTGTGAATTGCAGCGATTAATTTGGTTCTCTTTTCTGTAGGTTTCAGCAGTCTGTAAAAATATGCCTCTGATTTCTTGTCAAGTCTATTTGTACGGTCAATCGCACAGCTCTTTCTCGTTTAGTTGTGTTTTGTGTGTTCTTTCGCAGCATTCAGGCTGAAAACCAATGCTGCTATCAGTCTTTTTGCCACTCAGTGGGCGGACTCACTCCAGCTGACGGTGACGTCATGTGCACACCCTCTATTAGTCAAGTCATGTGTAGAGTACATCAAATGTGATGAACAGAAGCTCAAATGTTGCTTGCATGACACATGAGAACCAAAAGGTTTGTTCTCTCGTCAAGCAAGCTATATGAAAGGGCAGTGTTAAATGTCTTCTCTGGCTGAACAACCATAATGTCATCAAAACATTAGAAGTGTCTTTTGAGGGTTGTTTTTATTTTACTCATGAGGTAGATCTAGATTCTCGCAGGTTGGACGTGGCAGCAGTTCAGTCTTTGCAAGGTCAAACAGGAGAGCGCACAGACAATAATTGTTGATTTCCTAATATCTTTTAATAACTTTAATATCTTTAATCCAAAAGAATACATTTATTCAGTGTGAAGTGCTATATAAAAGTGTAATATATATAGTACAGTTAATGTTACTGGAAAAATTAATTGGACAGGAAGATATGGGCTCTTTAAGCATACGTTTGTGTGATTTCTGTTCATATTTATTTAGCTTATTTGCTTCTTAAACATGCCAAGTAATAAATAAAGGATCTGCAGTGTTAATGCAGACTGTACAAATATCTTTTTGTTCTTAGGGAATTAAATCATTTTTTATTCAGCATCTAATAAAATACCAGACAAATATTTGTATTTATGCATTAGTTTGTTGTATTTAATCTTTTATGAGAACACTGCATGCATGAATTTCTTTAATTTTCTTTAGACGGAAAGGTGCTACACTAAGTGATGGCAAACACTCTATTCATAGTTTGTTACAACCTCAGAGTTCTAAACATTTCTGATGTTTCTGGAAAATTATTCAGGTTATCTTTGTTGGAAGAAATAATGGTTCTACAAATTTGGTAATATTGTGTGGGGTGACTACCTTGTCTCTTGTATGGTAGGCAATGTTAGTGTCACTTTGTGGCAAGACTACGTTTTCACCATCTCCGTATGGTCAGGTTAAATGTAGTGAATAATTTAGACAAAGGACTAAATCATTTTTTAAATGATGTCAGACAACATCACTTTGAGCACATTCACTTCAGAGGAATAAAACTGAATCTTATCTGCTAGTTAACCGCTGTAAATTGTGGCAACACCTTCTCAAGCGAGGCTCCTATTTATAGCAATATATTGACCATGTTACAATCTTATGTTTCTCGCTGTATAACCCTTCTCCTCACCCCACCCTCTCTTTCTTTTTCAGGCAAAGAAGCGAAAACGTGCTGAGCGGTTTGGAAATGTATAAAAAATGGATCTTACCCTTTTTGGACTTTTTTTATTACTTTTTTTAAGTGTTCTTTGCAGTTCATTTTGTGTTAAGCTTGTAATCCCTGTAGTGCCATGGTTGTTTATCTGCTATTTACATTAAAAGTACCCCAGTTCCTTACTAATTTCTCTTTTATTCTTGATGTGATAGATGATTTGCATTTGGCATCAGTGTGTGGGGGTTCTTAAGGTATCAGAAGTAGATCAGGAAAGGTGTGCCTGCTAGTTGCTAGAGATCTAATGATACATTGATATGGATCAATGCATGGAATTAAGTTATTAATGAACTGTATCAATGCAAAGCATAAAAAAAATTGTGTTTAAGCTCTCAAAGCATGCATGGGTTTAGCTACAATGAATCTTTAGTACTCCACTAAAGAAAGAAAGTCACCAACATTTTGGATGGCCTGAGGCAACGAGTAAGCACATTTTTCTGTTTTTGGAAGAACTATTCCATTAAAGCTGCTAACTCTCACTAGCCCACCAGTGGGCTCATTGTTATTACATATTTGGGACCATTATATATGATTCTAGAACATAAATGAATCTTTACACAAGTGCTATATCATTGGAAAGTAGTTTTCATATTTGACCACCGTTTTTGAGATATATGATGGAACTCTGCAGCTCTTGTTATGGAGCTTGCTGACTGGATGCCTCCTGCTCCTTCTGTAGGACATGCTGTCACAAACCAAAACAGATCAGGCTTTCAAGCAGTGCCTGCAGTTTAAGTACAGATTTTGCCACAAGAAAAAAAAACCCTGTTATCTGCATTGCATGTGATGTACCGCTTCAGTTCTTGCCAAATGATGACTGTTTCAATGATTGGCCAGCCTATTATTACATCCTTTTTCACACACACTGGCTTCTCTGAGGTAGTACTCCAGTATATGTTTACATACGATCATACAAACTTATAAGTTCGAGTTTATAGTAACAAGTCAGCTTTGGGATGGAACAGCTTCAATTACCAAAAAAAAAACAAAAAACTTTCAGATTCAAGTTCATTTCATTAAGTAAACTAAAGTAAATTTCAGTTATATACTTCTATGTATATATGTAGTAAGTACAAATGTATGTAGTAACTATGCCAATATCAATGCACTAGTAGTATATTTGTATCGTACTGTTTCAATATTTTTACATAAAGTATATTTGGAAAGTCTACTTTAGAAAATGAACTTGAAGTATATGTAAAGCTCATATGCAAAAAAAAAAAATATTTTGTATATTTATTATATACAATTTACAATTATTTGTAAATATATATTTTTCTATATTTACAAGTAATTGTGCTTTCACTGTCAATTAGTACTAACTTCATAAATATGTAATGAATATTGTGGAATTTTCACTGCAAAACAACACAAATCTAGGTATAAAGTCTTTTGAAAATATATTTAATATATTTTTATGGCCCATTATCAGTGTCCTTACTAATATTCTTCTCACTAAGTTTACAATTGACTTTCTCACAATTACACGTGTGTGCATGCTGCTTACATGTACAGAACAATTCATTCTAAATAAAGTGTCATTAGAATTTAATGACCCATTAATGTGCTATATGCTAAAAAAAAGACTCGCGAGGTGTCAGTGTGTTTCAATTTTGGTTCTGAGGACCCAAAGCAATGCACATTTTGTTTGTCTTTCTTATCTGACTCACTCAGTTCATGGAGCTCTTTTTAAACAAGCTAATGATCTCCTAATGAGTTAATGATCCAGATCACAAAATGTGCGGTGCTGTTGGTCCGCAGAAGCAGATTAAAAATCCTCTGGTTTGTGGCTCAAACGCAAACACTTAATTATGGACAAGACAAATTCTGTTTCCATTCACATTTATTTGAAGATTATATTGACATGAACTTCTGAAATATTGTTTTTGTTATCTGTAAGTGATTGTTTGTTGGGCATCTTGTTAGTGACTTTATTAGGTCTGCATACATGATTTATTAGTTAAGGCATTGTCATGTTATGCTCATATATAGTAATAGCACCATATTATACACAATACTGAGTCACATGATTATTCACTACACTACAAGCATCATCGTAAACAGCACGTGTGCCTAAATTTTACCATTACAGTCCCTTTAAAACCGCAACACATAACTCATCAAGCATTCATTTATCTGCACGCTCTAATCTTTGTCAGATTCTCCTTGACCATATGAATCTTTTTTCTCATCTCTGCTCTTTTCTTTTGTAGATTCTTTCACCACCTGAGCAATGAACAAAATAATCAGTCAGATACAGTATATGCAACATATGTTACAAATATACATTTTTTTAAAATCTAACAAGATATAATGTTAAACACCAAGAATACTGTGCATACGTTGTTTTTTCACTGGCCAATTGATTGTTAAAGGAGCTAAGATGTCTGTTTCAATAAGACTGGAAACAAAGTGTCTCACCTCTCCATCACGAATCTCAACAGTCTTGATTACGACTTTCTTTCCAGGTCCAGTATCAGAAAACTGACCATAATCTGTTCAAAGACATCACACAGCAGATGATATGATGCAAAGGTGGAATAAAAGAACTCATGTACTACTTAGTAGTACAGAGAATTAAAAAATGTTACAGATTGACACAGATGAATCATTGCATTGTTTTGTAAAAGGACATGATATGCAAACAGTTGTGTACCCCTTGTATCTGTCTATTGTTGTCATCATTATCATGAGCAACTACAGTAGCAATCAAAGTTAACTCCATTTCTTGGAACAGATTCAGTTTCAGCAGAAGGAAATTTGACCATTTACACAAAGGAATAGTTCACCCAACATACAACTCTTCCCAAGTAACCTAATTGGTTTTAGGTGAGAACTACTTTTGATTACATTTTAAATAACTTTTGAATTAGCTCTTGTTGATTTGATCACATACATTGAAATATGATAATCGTGGACTATTCTGACATGAAAAAACAAAAAGGAATTGTTCTTATTCCATTGTTGCTATAAGGTCATTTTACAATTGCCTACATAATAAGGCAAGGTAGCTCTTTTTATTATTATATATATATTTTTTTTTAAACTGTGTTTTTATTTTGTCTGTGTGGAAAGAACAGTACATGGATCTTTTACTTTTAATATTTCAAAGCACTAATCAAGTTTGTTTGGCTGGTCTGTGTGTGCGAATCTACAACCCTCTTTTTCATTTTGAGTGAACTATTCCTTGAAAACCTTCAACCATTCCATCCTAAAAGAAAAACCTAAATTGGGTTAAATAATAATAAAACATTTATTTTATACTATGATAGACTCACCACCACTGTGTCCACCCATTGAAGGCATTTTCATGATAGGAACCACAATTCTGAAAGGTGCAGTTTGAAGGTCATAAGTTACCAGAGTAAAACAAAAACAAAAAACACTTTACACACAGAAACTTTTTAAAGGGGTCATATGATGCAATTTCAATTTTTCCTTTCTCTTTGGAGTGTTACAAACTCTTGGTGCATAAAGAAGATCTGTAAAGTTGCAAAGACTAAAGTCTCAAATCCAAAGAGATATTCTTTATAAAAGTTCAGAGTCAGCCACGCCTACCTAAAACGGCTCGTTCTAACACGCCCCCACATGTCTACCTCACGATGTGGGAAGATTTGCATAACGCCGCCCAAATGTTCACGCAAAGAAAGGCGTAACTTTTAGTCTCACTGTAGTTTTGTTGACGCTGCAGCCATGTCGTGAAGACGCTGTGTGCTTCGTTGTGAAAGCGAAACTACTTTGTTTGGTCTTCCAAAAGAGGACTATATCCGCTTCGTCATGCCTAGAGCTGATCTGTGCTACTTTCACCGTGGACGAAGCGGAATCCAGCCCGGGGTCCATCACATGTGGTTGCCGCTCATTCGTCGGATC